TAAGTTTCCTACTGCAAAAAATTTTACATTCCTTTCAGCCTGCTACACATCCTGCCCCTTCTTTGGCTTGGTAGGCTTTCACACAAAAGAAAGATCTAATGCAAGTGAGATCCAAGCCATAACACAGAATACTAATACAATATTCATTTCTGTGTCCCACAGTGGCCTTCTTTTCTTATCCTGATCCTGTCACCTAGCTGCCAGGGCTGCAAAGTTCGGCAGCCATCTGCTTAGTGCAATGCTCAGTCATTTCCTCTAGATGAGCAATATTTTCATTAACCTCACTAACATTACTGCAGAGCTAAAATCCACCCTTGCTTCTGTTCCATAAAAGTCACTCTAACTTTTAGGTGCATTTGGCATCATTACTTGAAATACTTGTCGTTGCTCTAACCTTTAAGACGACAAACATCAAAGTGAGATGAACGCAAAGCTGTAAGCAATTATAGCAGCAAACTTTACTACAGTTCAGTAGAGTAACTTCTGAATAGTTGAAGATTCTTACCTTAACAGACAAAAGGTGTGCAATTTCATAAAACAGCTATTGCTAGACTTCTAAGTCAGGCTCAGTTTTACATGCAGAAACATATTAGTAATTTGGGCTCATTAAAACACATCGGCTCCTCTAAAAGCCTCACCACTGCCTAACCCCTTGTCCCTACGTGTAATAGCTAAAATACCGGGCACAAGTTTGGAATAAGCATTTCATCATTACACTTAACTTTCAGTGCAGTCTTTAAAGTTGGGATATTATGGAATCTTCAGTTTATTATGTGAGGTATTTGACGGCTAGTTTGAAGAGCATGCTTGCATGAACGTCTTTGAGAAAGATCTAATACCCCTAGCAGATAGAAGTACTCTTTTACAGCCCTTTGATATAATGAAACACCTGGTTGGAATCACTACGCGCGTATTGGCAGTGGATTCCAGTAAAAGGAAATTAAGTTGAGGTCGACTTTTCCTGTAATGGAAAACTTCGTCTTTAAGTTAAGCCACATTTGGAGATTTTATGTTCAATTACCTGAAGTATTTACAGCTTCTTTAGAATAGCCAGAGCCCCTCAAACATTTTAAACTTTAGTATTGTTTAAACTACGTATTGTGGTGGTTGTTTGAATACCTACAAGGTGATGCCAATTTATCTCATGCTAACAAAACCCTCAAGATTTCAAGGATCTAGAGGAAAGTCACTTAATAGAATTGATTTTCTAGAAGTCCTTATCAGCATCATCTGCATTTAGCCAGAAATACCATTTTATTTTTTTTCTAAAGAGCTGCTTTTTAAGGTATTACTTTCATAGTGAGAAACAAAATAATGATATAGTGTAATAATGAAAATAACCAAATGTTTGTCCCACTAACTGAACTTCTTGGACGATGCAGTTTCTTTGCTAGAATATTAAAAACCAGTCAAGTCATTCTTCAGGCTGTTAAAGGAAGGTTGCATACCTGAAGGCTTTTGTCCAGCTGTAATAAACCATGTAATTAAGGCACAGTTTTCTCCCTATAAAGCTAATACCTTTTCCTATAACCTTTCTATCCCTCATCACACTCGACCATCCCAACCACGGCTCTCCATGCTTAGAGCACGAATGCAGACCAGCAGCAGAGACGTTCAGACCACCCGTCTTTTACGTAGTCTTCAACAACAACAAACCACTCCGGTAAGCGAGCATAGCTTATGGTATCCTAAAGGTGGAACACAGCAAGGGGAACACTACGTCTTCACAGTGCAGACTTCACCAGTATTCTTGGGATGCCGTCGGGCAGCAAGAGTTAGTTGGACAGACTGGTCAGCTGAAACACACCAACATTTCAACTTGGCCACGAGAATCCTTACAATATGAGCGATCTTCAACTGATTAGGAAGGACAAAGACAAGACTCTCACATTACAGAGACACCCTCTAGGAACACCACTTTTCTCTTAAGTGTTTGCATCTGCAATGGGTTTATTTTCGGCAGACGTTTTAGTTCATTTAACTGTTTAGCAGGACGAGTCTCGGCTCACTGGGGTAGCAACGGTCTTCAAAATTATTCGTCTCAGGATTAAACAGATGTCAGACAGCTAATGCAGAAAGCCCAGCGCTATAGAAACATGGCCATAATGGCAGCTTCCCATACTAGTTTTAGTACTTCCCGATTACTTCCGATTTGAACGTTTTAAGACACCCACAATGGACTCTCCAAAATGCTGTAAACTATGACAAAACTCAGTAACTGTCAACAGGCACCATGCACGTATTAGATCACTGTCAGACAAATTATTCCTGACGAGAGCAAGCAGTGACACTGAAATTTACTGTTACACAAGCTCAGAGGCGTATTCAAGCTGATGAACCAAGAAAATAAATTCAGCAGCTAAAACTGATCTTCACCTGCCATTTGGTTAAACGATAGTAACAAAGTCTGTCAGACTATGACTTTCAGGATTTATCCACACACATCTTACCGGTTTTCAGAGTAAGTTTGTAATTTCAGTAAAGACAGACCTTATAAGGCAAAGCTTGTTACAGCAGCCGTATAATATATGGAACTCTAAAAACCTAGCAGCAAATGGTCAATCCTTCTAAAAAATGGGGGTGTTTAACTTTGGGAGAATTTGACAAAAACGGGAGAAATAAACGCATAGATGAAATAAAAGTAACCAAACCAAAAATATTTATGAGATTGTAGAACTTATTGCCATGAGGTATAACCAAACCCAGGAATTTAGTATACGCTTAACTGTCCACTTTCCAAGGGGAGGAGGGAGTGAACACAACAAAAAGAACAAAAAAACCTTTTCAGAACATAAAAGAAGGTACAACAATGACAACCAGAAGATCCAGTCTAAGCCAGTTTTGCATGCTGGACCTTTAGCTGATTACTGGCTTAATCTGTACAGGAAGAAGAGGTTGAAAAGTTTAGATTCATTCCGCTACTCTGCTGGAGTAGATCCCCATTTCTCTCTGTCCAGCTGAAAGGCTAAAGAAGTCACATGTTTTAAGACAGTGAGTAAGAGTAAAGGAGCATGATATTCCAGTTGACTACATCGTCTGTTTTCCTTGGTATAGTTCCACTCTAAAAAACCCCATGTGGATACCATTGTTCAACAATACCTCAATATTTCCAAGTCTAAAATCCCCCGCTTTTCTTTGTAACCAATGATACAAGTACGGAAGGAAGAAAAATCTATTTCGGTTTCAGGCAATGCAGGATTTTGTTAAAAAACAGAGAGAGAAAGAAAAAGAGTGGCTATTACTTGGCCAGCAATAGCACGCAACATTTTTTGATCAACGCCAGAGTAACCAAAGATATCAACTGGGTTATCCTGTAATCCTTTTACTTTTTTTCAAAAGGCCAGATATGTCCACTTAGGAATGCAGCTTTAGTTCACGAACAAGCAATTTAAAAGCACGAAGGAGAAACAGCGGTAGGAATTTTCAGGGCTCAAGAACTCAAAGAGACAGTATTATGGTATCAAAACACAAGAGGTGAAGCGTAGTGCCGCTAAATGTGTCTCCAGGGGAATCATCTAGTAACCTGCCGGTCTATAGCGGCTCGGGATGACAATGTGTAACACCAGTACTCATGCGTGTCTGGAAGATAAACGCACAAAGTCATATTGGGTAAAAAATTAAGACAACAGAAGCACACCGAAGCCTGCAGACTTTGTAAGTCCGGATTAAAATCAGGTATGAAACAGTTAATACATACTCAGACCAAAATAAAAGCTAAATTTAAGCTAATGCTGTATAAAAATTAAGCAAGTAGTACTAATCATTCATGGCTGAACCCTAATATTAGCACTATCTGTAGAAAATAGCTCTTGATTTGGAAAATGGAAAGGCTGCATTTACAGGAAACAGAGATCTTCTGTTACTATTGCAACACAAGACTTCAGCCTCCATCTGAACAGTCAGCTGATGCCAGCAGTCATTTTCCAGCACTGTCTTAATTTCTCCTTCCCCATCCTCTCAAGCTGATGTCCATAGTAGTTCTTCATTTTTGAACGCCATGCTTTGTCCCCTGATTATAGAATTAAGACTAGGTTTTTTCCCCACATAACAGAGTAAAACTGTTTTCAAGAAGACTTGACATAATAAACTGACAAGAAGCACAGCAAAAATAATCTGCAAGATTTTTGGTAATTCAAAGACCTGTAGCCACTGATCTCATTTCACGTTCTTAAGTAGAAAATAATAAAATGTAGATATTATTAAATATTTATGCTTGCTGCTCATTGAAAAGGCCTTTAAATGCACCATACAGAGAAGCCAAACGTTCAGCTGCTGCAGATCTGCAGAGTGCCAAAGTCAGCAGAAATACAGCAGCTCGAGGATCTGCCTCAGTTATTCAAACTTCCACTTGCAAATGCCAACCTACATTCGGCACATTTGTGCTGAAGCGCTACAAAGGGGTGGGCTAACAAACCACCTTCAGCAGGCCGTCAGCAGGTTTTCCTCCTTTTCCACCCCTCTCCACTTCATCAAGTGGTATTAGCATCTGAAATACCGTGCTAGATCAAATAGCCTGGGTACTTTGCCGAAGTATTGCATTACAATGAATAAAACTATCATCAAATTGCTTTTATTCCCAGCTGGAGTACAAATTCTCTGACGGAAGCTAGTAAAACCTTAGGAAGGAATCACTTTGGGCAACCGCATTGAACGGATAGACCTCGATACATACGCGTCACGCACCCGAAGTCACAGCTATCTGTAACGTGCGCAGTATCACCCAGAAGCCAGCCATGTAAAATTTCTTTCTTGCCTTCAGGTGAGTTCCAAGCGTGACATTTGGAAAACCTCATCTAAATCGGGATTTTGTCACCGGCTACAGGAATAGGAAAGACGTTTGACTTGCCATCGGTGTTTTCCACGGCAGAACAGGTGGGCCTTTGTGCCAGGGCAGAGCTGCGGTCCGACGCCAGCAGCAGCAGCATTCCCGTTCCACAGCCTCGCTCGCTGCGGGGCTGCCGAAAGGCACGGGGGGGGGGGTTCAGCCCCACGCACCCAAGATGGTGGGGCGATCCGCCACCGAAACCCAGCCGCCCTCACCGCGAGGGATCCTGCTGGGCCCCTGGGATCCCTCCTCGGGCCTCTCCGAGAGCGCCCAGCAGGTTTCCTACGGGGGAAACCCTACCCAGCGGGCCGCGCCTGAGAAACGGGACCGGGGAGAGCACGGCCGCCCGCAGCGGGCTCTGCCGCCGGGGAAGGACCCCGTACGGGGCTCCGGTCGGAGCCGGGGGGGGGGC